ACTCCTCTGCAAAGGACCTGTGAAGGCTTGCCACTCTGCTGGGTAAGACGTTTATACACTTTGACCTTATTTCGAATCTGTTTCAGGGTATCTTGATAGTACTTCTCATACTGGCACATGGCCTTATGGTCAGTGAGGCCCGGAGACAGGGTATGTCTTTTCTTTTCTGGAAATGTGGCTTCTGCCTCCAGGTCATTCAGCACATAGGGCTTCTGCACAAGCTTCCTCTGCCTCACCTCTACGTCCCCCTCCATGACCTTCACCTTTTTCTTTTGGAGGGGCACCGCCTTGTTGGGGTCCACAGCCAACCACATCTCCCCCAGGTTCTGCCACACCGATTTGATGTGGTCCCAGGAATGTCGTAGGTGCGAGTGCTGGATCTTTGGCACCACCTTTCGTGGAGCATCCGGTTCAGACGCTTTCGGTTGACATCGTAACCCAACTTCTGTCTCTGGGTCTGGCACTTGGCCTTGGGCATTGCCCTGATCAGGGCAAGAGCAGCTCACTCTGGGTGCCTCTCACTCTCAGAACCTCGTGTAACCAGTATGACCCTTTCAAATGTTGTTCAATTCAGTTTGCTAATATTTTGTTGAGGATTTTTGCATATATATGCACAAGGAATATTATGTAATTTCCTATTGTTATCTTTGTTTTTTTTTATCAGGGTAATACTGGCTTCACAGAGTGAGTTAGGAAGTGTTTCCTCCTCCTTTTCCATTTTATTTTATTTTTTCTGGAAAAGTCGATTAAAGTTTGTTAATTCTTCTTCAAACATTTGGTCAAATTTACCAGCAAAGCCATCTGGTCCTGGACTTTTCTTTGTGGGATGTTTTTTGCTAGGTTAATTATTAACTCAATCTCTGTACTTGTTATACATGTATTCAGATTTTCTGTTTCTTCTTGAGTCAGTCTTGGAGTTTGTATATTTCTAGGAATTTCCCATTTCATCTGTGTTATCTAATTTGTTGGCATATAACTTTTCACATGTTTTCACTTATATTTTTTATTTATCCAAGATCATTAATGTTTCATTCCTCTGTTTCATTCCTGCTTTTAGTAACTTGAATCTTCTGGTTTTTTTAATCTTGGAAAGTCTACTGAAGATTTGCCAGTTTTGTCAACCTTTTCAAATAACCAGTTTTTGGTTTTGTTTATTTTTTTCTATTCTCTATTTCATATAATTCCATTCTAATTTTATAATCTTTTTCCTTATACTCTGAGTTTATTGTGCTCTTTTTTTTCTAGTTTCTTAAGGTAGAAAGTTATTGATATAAGATCTTTTTTTTTAATGTAGGCATTTACAGCTATAAGTTTCCCTACAAGCATTGTGTTAGCTGCATTCCATAAATTTTGGTATGTTATAGTTTTGTTTTCATTAATCTCAAGTATTTTCAAATTTATTCTTGTGATTTCTATTTTGACCCAGGTTATTTAGGAGTGTGTTGCTTAATTTCCATGAATTTGTGAATTTCCTGAATTTTCTTCTATTATTGATTTCTAATTTTATTGCGTTATGGTAAGAGAATTTACTTTGTATGACGTTAATACTTTTAATTTATTGACACTTATTTGATTGCCTATTCTATGTGCATTTGAGAAGAATGAGTATTCTGCTGTTGTTGGGTAGAGTGTTCTATAGATGTCTTTCTTGTGTCTAATTGGTTTATAATATTGTTCAAGTCCTCTGTTTCCTTGTTGATCTTCTGTCTAGTTGTTTTACCATTTTTGAAAGTTGGATATTGACATTTCCAATTATTATTGTTGAATTGTCTATTTCTCCCTTTAATTCTGTTTTTGTATATTTTCATATATTTGGGAGCTTTATTGGTAGGGCATATACGTTTATAATTGTTATATCTTCTAAATGGATTGACTCTTTTATCATTATAAAATATTTCTGTCTCTAGTAACAATTTTTGTCTTAAAGTCTGTTTTGTCTGCTATTAGTATAGCCATTCCACCTCTCTTTTGGTTACTGTTTTCATGATATATTTTCTCCCATCTTTTTAATTTCAACCTATTTGTATCTTTGAATCTAAAGTGTGTTTCTTGTGAACATTATATGGTTGGATCATGTTATTTTGTCTACAATGCCAATCTCTGTCTATTAGAGTGTATAATCTATTTATAGCTAATATAATTCCTGATAAGGTAATATTTAAAGCTGCTATTTTGCTATTTGTTTTCTATATGCCGTATGCCTTTTTGTTCCTCTGTTCCTCCATTATGTCTTCTTTTGTGTTAAATAGATGTTTTCCAGTATAGCTTTTTAATTCTCTTTTTGTTTCATTTACTATATAATTTTTTTTGTTATTTTCTTAGTGATCACCCTGTGAATTACAATTGACAGCTTTTTTTTATCTTGATAAAGCATAAACTCTTTTTTTTTTATCTGCACATAAAAATTTGCATTAAAAGATAGTATAATAGCAGTAGAGGGCCCAACCTAAATGTCCAATCGCATCAATTTCACATCCATACAATAGATTTCTGTATATGCATTAAAATAATGTTTGTGAAATACATTTTATTACATAAAAGAGGTTCACCATACATACAATTGACATCTTAATTTATAACCTTCTAGTTTGGATTAATACCAACTGGATTTCAATAGTATATAAAAACTTTGCTCCTTTATAGCTCCATCCTGCCCCTTCTCCTTTGTATTGTTATTGTCATACAAATTACATCTTTATACTTTGTATGTCCATCAGCAGAGATTTATAATTATTGCTTTACGCTTTATGTATTTTAAATCAGAGAAGAGAAAACAAGAGTTATAAACAAAAATACATTTATACTGTCTTTTATGTTTACCTATGTCATGAACTTTACATGTATTCTTTAATTCTTCATGTGGATTCAGGTACTATCTTTTCATTTCAACCTGAAGGACTCCCTTTAGTATTTTTTATAGGGCAGGTCTGCTGGTGACAAATTCTCCCAGTTTTTGTTTATCCAGAAAGATCTTAATTCTTCCTTCATTTCTGAAGGATAACTTTGATGCATATAGCATTTTTGGTTGACAATCTTTTTCTTTCTGTGCTTTCAGTAAGTCATCCCACTCCCTTCTGGCCTCTGTGGTTTCTGATGAGAAATCAGCTGCTGATCTTTTGAAGATTTCTCTTATGTGATAAGTTGCTTTTTTCTTGCTGTTTTTAAGATGCTCTCTCTGCCTTTGGCTTTCAACAGTTTGATTCTGATGTGTCTGGGTGTGGGTATCTTTGAGTTTATGCTATTTGTAGTTCCTTGAACTTCTTAGTTATGCAGATTCATATTTTTCATCAAATTTGGGAAGTTTTGAACAATTATGTCTTCAAATATTCTTTTTTTGTTCTCTCTCTTTTCTTTTCTGGAACTCTCATTATGCTAGTGTTGGTATGATTGATGGTGCCTCACAGGTGTCTGAGGCTCTGTTCATTTTTCATCACTTTTTTCCTTTATTTTTCTCAGATAGAATAATCTCAATTGATCTATCTTCAAATTTGCTGTTTTTTTTTCCCTACCTGCTCAAAAGGTCTTTTGAGCCTGTCTAGTGAATTTTTCTTTTCAGTTATTGTACTTTTCAACTCCAAAATTCCTATTTGGTTTTTCTTTCTTTCTTTTTTTTAATAGTTCTGTCATTTTATTGAATTGTCTATTTGGTGAGACATCCACTCTCATAATATATTTTAGTTCTTTGGATATGGTTTCCTTTTCTAGGATCATATTTAAAACAGCTGATTTAAAGTCTTTGTCAGGCATGTTCAATATCTGGCATTCCTCAGTGATCGTTTCTAGTCACTACCTTTGTTTTCTTGTTTCTTTGCTTGTTTTGTACTGTTTTTGTTGAAAATGAGAGCATTTCAAATACAATAACATGGAACTCTGAAATTAGATTGTTCCCCCTCCTCAGACTTTGTTAGTATTTTTGTGATTGATGCTGTTTGCTTATTTAATGACTTTCCTGAACTATCTATAAAATCTGTATTCTTTGCTATGTGAGGCCCCTGAATCTCTGCTTGGTCAGCTTAGTGGTATACTAATGATTACACAAAAATGTCCTTAACCTTTTGGAACCAATAAGTGTTCCAGTCTTTGCCAATAGGCTCTGTGTTTATGTTGAGGCTTGTGTTCAATTCTGTTGTAGCCCTTACTTCCTGCTTACACAGAGCTTCAAGGTCAGTCTCTGGATGCATATCAAATGGAATGATAGCTTTGAAAAATACAAATGTAAGCTACTACTACATTTGTGGTCCTTTATCTGTCATTGCTCTCTTACCAGATTGTTTGAAATTTGCAAGCACAGGCACTTCCTGATTTATAAACATCTAATTTAATATGTAAACAGCTGGGATTTGTAGTTTCATTTTTTAAAAAGCTTCCAAAAATCAGAGCTAGTTTGGGTAGTGTTTCTCAAAGTGAGGTTCAGGGACCTGCATCAGAGTTTCTTAGGATGTTTATTAAAATTCAGGTTCCTAGTTCCATCCCCAAACTTTTGATTGAAAATATCTAGAGACATAATCACCACCTAAAGCATGTAGAGGTTTCTCTTTATGGAAAAAAAAAATGTCTGCTGGTTTCCACATAACACATATCCTAATGAATCTTTTGATGCTACCCATTTGAGAGTTTGAGATTTGATCAGATTCAGATGTGTAATTTATCTGTGTTAATTTAAAATTTTAAGCTGATTTCTCCCAACCATCTGTATAATTCTAAGCCATTGTCTTTAAGGAGTTTTGTGTTTAGGTAAAACAAACTCAGTATTGAAAAGCAATTAGGGGAGCATAGATCCTTAAAAAATTTAATGCATTGAAAAGTGAAACATGATTTTAAAGATGATTTCATGTTTTAGGTTTTTTCCTGCTCTGACTGGCCTGTTAATGAGAGTAATCAAGAGAGTCCTGTCCTCTCTCCCGTCCAATCCAGTTTAGGATACGTTATTCTGCCTTAGGTCTCCAGAATTCTATTACAAATGAGTAGACTTGTAAATCGCATTTCTTATTTCCTTCAAGGTATTGCGCAGCGATGCACAGCTATCAAGTACCACTTTTCTCAGCCAATCCGCTTACGAAACATTCCTTTCAATTTAACCAAGACAATACAGCAAGATGAATGGCACCTGCTTCGTAAGTATTCCTGGGAAGGGTTCAGAGAGGAAATGGTCTCTTTCTGAACACAAAGTAGTCCCACCACCCCTCTCAGATTTGGACCAAAAGATGTCCTTATACTCTGTATCAGGCTTGGTCAGAGACTTGGAAGATGATCATTTCACTATGCTGTGGACATAGCTTGATTACAAATAAAATGTGTGAAAACCAGGTCTCTGTCTCTGTGAGATAGTTTCTCAAAGTGAGGTTCCTGCTTAAAGTGCAGGAGCCTGCTCAATATTTTCTTTGATCTGTTGGGTATAAGGACTTGCTCTACCCCTTGTCTTAGTCAACTAAGGAGATTTTTCCATAGGTGCTCTTATTTTTTGCTCTGTTTATACAATATGTACTTTGGCTACTATGTTTATCTCAGATCTTAGTATTTCTGCTAAAATATCTTTATGAGTGTGTTTCATAATTTTCTCAGAGGGTGTCTACATCCCAATGGAAGGAACTACTCCTTTTCATTGTCAGGAAAATGTGAAACTCTACAAAGGATCATACAGTATAAAACTAAAGAGGGCTGATATGTGTCTGAAAACTGTTGATTCAAGCTCCCTGGTGATAGATAGCTCATCAAAGCAAAGAACTACAGTGAATTCTTTTTTGGTGTTTACCCTCATTAGAAATTGACATTGTTGTTTTCTAGTGAAATAAGCAACAAGGTTTTCAGGATCTTGTTTGGTGACCAAAGCCACTGCAGGAAACTAAGTAAAGTCTCATTCTCTAAGTAAATCCCTCTGAATAGTAAAGGCTCTGTTGTGACTCTCAAACATATACATGGAAGCTCTTATGATATTGCCACAGCAGTGGTCTGATATTATAAATATGATTGGCAACTTTAGGACTTGAAAACCATAGGATAAAATGTGGTTTATGTCTTAATAATACTACTTCCTCAAAGTTCTTTCTTGCTGGCAGATTTTAACAATCATTTCTCAGCAGATCCAAATTAGAGTCTTAGCTAAGTGTCTTTATGTCTTAATTCTTTATGAGCGTGTTTGGAGTCCTTTGCCTTAGTCATCCGTCCAGAGTTACCACATAGTTACTGTAGCTTGGTCAGGTGAGAAAAGGTCATCACAGGATCCTGAAAAAGAACCTTAGCTCTTTAAGAGTTTGTACCCTGTTATTGTCCAGCAAGGCAATTTTTGAGCATTCTCGTCTTAACCCATTTTTGGGATTCTCATGGAAAGATGCTTTGAGCAGTCTCATGCATGGCTCTTTCTAAGAAAGTCACACTTGGTGATCTGTACCACGTTTACTGGATAATATGTGTGGTACTAATGCACATTCTGTGTGGATTATAACTGAACCTTGTGCATTTTCATAGCCATAGAAAATAGACCATCACTCAAACCACAGGGGATTTGGGAGGTTGTAAGGTAGCTGAACTATTATTACATTTTCCCTGCTCAGATGTGGATGTCTCCCAACTACTTATACCCTTAACTTTAAATTCAGTATCTTTAAAGTATTGCTTGCCCCACCCTTGCTTTTTGCTGTCTACACTTCCTCTTCTAGGCAGAAATGCCCTGTTTTAATTGGTTGCTCTGAGCAAGAAATGAGAAATCTTCTTTTAAAAAAGTAGGTAGGTTCTGTGTGGCTAAGATGCTAAAAGCAAGACTAGAAGCTACCATAATCCATCCTCCATGCAGCACCCCTAAGATGCCCAGGGGTTGCACAAACATACAACAAGGTGGCGGCTGCCTGGGTACTGCCACCTTAGAGCAGCCCACACTCCAAACAGGGCAGCGTGCACCTTGCTTGGCTCCATGTGTGCATGGCTATGTGTGATCCATGTGCATTTTTCCAGACATGTTGCCTGGCCTCAGGAGAAGCAGATGTATGTTTGGGATCTGTTGTTTTAAGAAGGACCACAGAAATTTAGATAACGATGGGTTTTGGGTTTTGTGCTTTTTAAAAAGACAGTATCTTGCTCTGTTGCCCAGGCTGGAGTGAAGTGGCATCATCATAGCTCACTGCAACCTCAAACTCTTGGGGTCAAGTAATCCACCTGCTTCAGCCTCCTGAGTAGCTAGAACTATAGGCATGCACCACTACACCTGGCTAAGTTTTTTTCACTTTGGTAGAGATGGGGTCTTGCTATGTTGCCCAAACTGGTCTTAAACTCCTGGCCTCAAGTGATTCTCTCACCATGGCTTCCCAAAGTGCTGGAATTACAGGCATGAAGCACCATGTCCGGCCTTAGTTATCAATTTTTAAAGTTAGCTTTGGTCCAAAAAAACAGGAAGGAAGGAAATAGAAAGAAAAGGCAAAATAGCCAGAAGGTGGGCAATGAGAGTGCTGTGTTAGCAGCTGGAGGCAAAGCGTATGCAGGTACATGTAGTCCATCCAACTCTTGGTTTTGCCAAGGAGATGGGAAAAGAGCTAGATTCCTGCCTCGGTGATCACAATTGTGTTTTTGTGATAGATGAAACTTGACATTTGGGCATATAGTGGAGACTTGTGCCACGGGAACAATCCCACCTTAACCTGGGTAAAAATGGGTGCTCGGGTTGTGGGACCTATGCTTTGGGGGAGAGGGCATTTAGGAGCAGATGTTTTAGAGGAGAGGGTGTTTGTGAGCAGATGTCTCATGTGTGCACTTTGGAATGCTATTTCAGTCACCACAGTTGCCTTCAGTTTCTCAAATCTTTTTAGAAAATAGGCAGGAGTAGATGTAAATGAAAAATAAATTGGCATCCATGGTGCTGAGATAAAACCCTATTTCACTATAGGTCACTTTTTAGGCTCTTTCTCCAAAGCCAGATTAATTATAGCCACTGTAGTGGTGGTCACCTACATTTTCATTGCTCTCTGAAGATTATCTCAAGATAGAAATCTCAAGATATTTCTCAAACCTTCCCCACTCTCGGTTTACTAAATAACTTGCTATGTGTTATTCAGATTTGCCCTGGGGTTGCCCTCCAGTTTGTTCTCCACTTGGCATGGACTTCTCTTCGTGGACTCAGAGAGGGTAGCCTCTGACCCCTCCACTGCTCACACCCGTCTGCCCCTTGCGGAATACCTGGGAAAAGAATTCCAACTTACTGATTTTCAAAATGTATTCTGAGCTCTTCATTGTCTAATTTTCAACAACCCTCCTGCCTCTTCTTCTGATTTTGAATGTCTGTTTCTGTTTCGAGATTAGATTTGAGAAGAATCACTGCGGGCTTCCTGGGCATGGCCGTAGCTGTCCTTCTGTGCGGCTGCATTGTGGCCACCGTCAGTTTCTTCTGGGAGGAAAGCCTGACCCAGCACGTGGCGGGGCTCCTGTTCCTCATGACAGGTATGCTCTTCACCCCAGGCCACCTGGCCGGGCCAAGGCGAATGCTGCTCTGCATGCAGCTAGCTTCGTTTCATCAGCTTGTCAATTTTGTTTTCACTGTGAGAAAAGCAACCAGAAGGTCATGTGGCTTTGGTGGGGAATACAGAATTTAAGGAAAACAACAGTGTTATAAATGCAGCTGGGTTTCCCCCTGTGGCCTGTTAGTAGGTTAGACAGAAGCATCTTGGGTTTAATGTCCATAGGAGGCGGGTCTGCCTTTTTCTGTCCCATTCTTTCCTACTGTGACCCAAATTCTGGTGTGGACTCTTGGTAAAGGTGGGCCATTTGCTTATCAGGAGCCCTGAAGGAGAGAGAGGGTGATGGATCAGAGCAACCCATCACTCCCCAAAGTCAACTCAGAGTTCATGCCTTAGTGATGGTATCATTGGTATCACTTTTACATACAAAACATTCGTTCATTTAGCTCCACAGGTATATTTTGAGGACTTATAGTATACCAGGCACTGCTATAGGTACTAAAGACATACAGTGAATGAGGCAGGCAAAGTCCTTTAAGACACAACAGTGATTTGCGACAGTGATAAAAGCTGTGAAGAAACTAAACAGGGTGCAATGGAGACTCCAGAGAGGCCTTGCTGGGGCGGCGACTTCTGAGCTAAGTCGTGAGAAGCAGCGGGGGGACGAGAGTGGGCCGCAGGCTGAGGGGCCCAAGCCCGGCGCCAAGCCCTAGGGCAGGGTCCATGTATGTTGGAGCCACAGCAAGAAGACCAGCATGGCTGCAGGGCAGTGAAGGAAAGGACAGCACTCCATGAGCTGGGAGAAGCAGGCAACTGCTAAGTCTTTGGGGCTTTCTTGGCCATGGTAGAGAGCTTGGATTTGAAGCTAAGGATGATGGAAGCCACTGGAAGGTTTTTAAGCAGAGGAATGACTTGGTCTTAAAGCAAGAGATTAGGGCGGAGTGTTGAGACATGGCTAGGACTGTTTCGATTAGCAGGTGAAAGATATTTTTGTCTAAAAAAGGAGTCAGGAACTGAGTGGATGTCTGATGTCTTGGGGAAGAAATCTTTCCTTCCTTTTCCCCCTTCATAAAACAATTACTGTATGAGTGATTAGCCAACGCCAAGTGAACAGTTTCACAAAGTATATCCAGCATCAGAACTAACACTACCCTAGATAGCCACTTTTCGTAAGTTCATTTCTACTTGCCTGGAGTTCTGTTGCTCAAGTGCCCATGACTAGACGTGCCAGCACTTCTCACCGCATGGGTCACTTAGTCAAGCCTGTGGGACCAGGAGCAGGAGGCGGCCACACCCCTCTAGGGCCAATGCCATTTTCTGTCTGGTTGTCTCGCAGGGCCGGCAGGTAGGGGTGCTCTGCTCTCTGGTGTGATCAACCACCCGGTGGTCTTAGGGGACCCACCTCACAGGCAGGGGCCCCTTTCCCGCTCCATGAAGCGGCACTGTAACATGCAACCGTCCTGAATATGGGCCATCACCACAAGCATCCTGACGACACCCGGAAGTCATGTGGATCCCGCATAGTTCTAAGCAGAAAACCAATTTAGGTTTTCTGGATTTTTGTACATACACAGTGGCTACCAGGACTGTAGCACATGGAGGCTAAAATTCTAGTTTCTGGGGTTTTGGAGGAAGATTTAGACTCTCAAAACCAGCTACTGGGGCTCTGCCCAAGGGAGGTACTTAAGGTCCAAATTATAGAGTAAGCAGGCCAGGGCAGCAGGACTCAGAGAGAACTGTGCTGCCTAGAGGATTCCTTTAAGCTAATAGTCATTAAAATCTCTCCCATTTTCTTCCCTCCCTGTATTAGTTGAGCCCCATTTCCCTGATTCTCATCCCCATATACATCAAAGAAGTGCAGATGGATTGTCTTCCAACCCTGGAAATTTCCTGCATCACACCTCCTTGTCAGGAAAATGAGAGAAGCCCTGTATTGGACAAAAGCCTCAGTAGGAGTAGTTTTTAAAGGACACTTTTAATGTAGATAGTGCATGAATAATTTAGGATACTCTCAGCATATAAAACAATTGTTAGCGTTAAAATAAAACACAAGACCACAAAAGCCTAGTGAGTGCTCTTAGGAAGGCCCAAGGGCTAGTCTGATTTTAAATGAAAGGAAGGTGGAAGTTCAGTATTGAAGGGGCACAGAGGAGAGCCAGGGGTTTCCCAGGACAGTCCCACCTCTCCCTGCTCCCTTATTTCTGATCCATATGTGGACTGTACCTCCGGGACAGACTGGATTGATCATCAAAAGCTTTTATGTAATTGTTAAACAAAAATGAACAAGTGAAACAATATCCACAACAACCAAAACCTACAACCAACCCACAACAACTAAATCAAAAAAACAAAACAAAACAAAATCCCCAAACTTATAAACTTGAAGTTTGGTGACCAGTCCTGAAGGACTAACAGAAGCAACCTAACGTTGTTGACATTGTTCTGTTTTGTTTTGTTCTGGTTGCACAAATGTTGGAATGAAGAGGAAATCTGCTTACAGAACCACCACCTGAAAATACAATGACCTTGTTAAATATCTTCCTTAGCCTGGACCAACTCTTGCCATATATTTGCTTCAAAAAGAAAAAAGAAAGAAAGAAGAGAAAAAGGAAAAAAAATATGTTTGGGACCGCTGATCCCCGTATGGGAACTATTTAATCTGTGTCCACTTAACATTATACCATAAGCATTCCCAATGTTGCCACATTGTTCTTGTACTCACTTTTTTCCCCCCTTTTGCACCATTTTCTATTTATAAAATCCATGGCATGCACTCACAACAGACCATCACTTCTTTTTGTAAATGGGACATTATGAATATAACATTGAATCATCAAGACCAGGGTCAGCAAATAATATCTGTGGCTAAATCCAGCTTGCTGACTATTTTATTTTATTTTTTTGTCTCCTCTGTAAGTAAACTTTATTATTTTTTATTTATCAGGGTACAAATGTTTAGGTTATATATGTTGCCTTTGCCCCACCCAAATCAGAGCTTTAAGCATGTTCCTCCCCCAGATGGTGCGTACCATACCCATTAGGTATGAATATACCCATCCCCTTCCTCCCCCCTCCCACCTGCCTGACACCTGATGAATGTTACTATTATATGTGTACATAAGTGTTGATCAGTTACTACCAATTTGATGGCGAGTACATGTGGTGCTTGCTTTTCCATTCTTGGGATACTTCACTGAGTAGAATGGGTTCCAGCTCTATCCAGGATAATACAAGAGGTGCTATATCACCATTATTTTTTTGTGGCTGAGTAGAACTCCCTGGTATACATAACCGCATTTTATTAATCCACTCATGTATTGCTGGACACTTGGATTGTTTCCACATCTTTGCAGTTGTGAATTGTGCTGCTATAAACATTTGAGTGCAGTTGTCTTTTTTTATAGAATGTCTTCTTTTCCTTTGGGTAGATGCCCAGTAATGGGATTGCTGGATCAAATAACAGTTCTACTTGTAGCTCTTTGAGTATCTCCATATCACTTTCCACAGAGGTTGCACTAGTTTGCAGTCCCACCAGCAGTGTATAAGTGTTCCTATCTCTCCATATCCATGTCAACAAATTCAGCAAAGGCTCAGGTTACAAAATCAGTACACACAAATCAATAGCATTCCTATATGCCAACGACAGTCAAACTGAGAACCAAATCAAAGACTCAATACCCTTCACAATACCAACAAAGAAAATAAAATGCCGAGGGATATATTTAACTAAGGAGGTGAAAGGCCTCTATAGGGAGAACTATGAAACACTGAGGAAGGAAATAGCAGAAGACATAAACAGGTGGAAAACCATACTATGCTCATGGGTCAGCAGAATCAACATTGTTAAAATGTCTATACCACCCAAAGTGATTTATAGATTCAATGCCATCCCTATTAAAATACCAACATCATTTTTCACAGATCTAGAAAAAATAATTTTATGCTTTGCGTGGAATCAGTGAAGACCCTGTATAGCAAAAGCAATCTTAAGCAAAAAGAATAAATTGGGAGGCATCAATCTACCAGACTTCACAGTTTTTAAATAGTTGCATGTTCTTCCATGGAATGCTGTTCTGGATTCATCTGTTCTCTTGCTGTGAGATTTAGGGAGGTTTGTTTTGTTTTTGTTACTACAAATAATGCCTTGAAATTTCCTTTGTAAACACTGAGATAACCATGTCAATCCATAGCATGAGACAAATCATCTATGGAACATTGACAGGCAGTAGCAGGAAATGAGAGGGCACAAAAGGGTTAAAAGAATTGATTTTAATTAAGCAGAATGTCTTCAGCAGCTCAAGGCAGCATCCTTCCCGCAGACTTTTGATGCTAAACTTAGCCCCTTCTGATGCGCTGCCATCTTCATTCTCTGCCTGAACTTATTAGCCAGATCTTCAATGAAGAACATTCAATGATGTGACAGTTTGAGTTGTTAAAATGGAAACTTTGGAACAATCTTTCTCCTTTTGCCTTGTTGTATACAGACAGGTCTTGATTACCCACACGTGTTGATGCACATCTGGGAGCCAGGTCTCACCCCTTTCCTCTTCCCTGGAACCATGCAATGGGGTCCTCCCACAGCGTCCGGGGCAGGCCCCACATCCCCCCGGGGCCTCAAACTTAGACTCTTGACGTCGTGTCCTCTGAGGTTACTCACACACAGGCACTGAGGCATGCACAGAGGATTGAGAGAATAAGACTCTCATCTTCCAGCGTTGTGCTCTTGCCATTACCAGACCGTACTGCTCTCAGTGTACTGTGAGTGAGCATTTCCGTCAACATTGAGTGATGCATTCTATCAGATTGCTATAGCAATATAATTATAATGATTATAATTTAAATTATTAATGTAAGTATTTTAAAGGGTTCATTTCTTCGATGCAAACATTTTTAAATACAATTTTTATAGTTCTGTCGGGGGATTTTTATTATCTTTGAATACAAAAAGTCTCAAAAATTGGATAAAGCTTGGGGCCTCCCCTG